TCTGTTACGTGATACAATAAATAAGTACAATTTATATAAAGATGGACATTTTTGTTTTTAGATTAGAAAATACATGTTTTAATTTTTTATATTCTATACGTACAGTATACTTAGGATTACGGTTAATAAAAATTGTTTTATCACATCTATTCAAGTCATAAAGACGTTTTTGAAATTTAGAAAAATTTTACATCGCTGTATTGTTTCAAATTGTAATTTTTTTGTAGTTATTTGCTTCCCGATAAAGGACGATCTGGTAAGCAGAAGACCGGCGTCGTTCGCAGGTCTGGCGGCTCACCAGTTTGGGGTCATACGTTCATCTACAAGGATGTTAGTTTACAAGAACTGGCGGAACGCGGATTAGAATTGACAGTCTGGGACCATGATCGAATTGCTAGCAACGAATTTCTTGGCGGTGTTCGATTTAATCTTGGCACTGGTATTTATATAAATTACCATTACTTGAAATTGTGTACATATATTGAAATTATTTATTTTCTTAAAAATCAAATTATATTAAAATATATTTTGTCACGCAGATAGGAAAAATAATAACTTAGTAAAATCTATTCGGAAAAAATTTAAATAATAAAATGTCGTCATTTTTATTTAGTTTACTATGTTCTAAAAGTTGGACGAAGATATTTTTTTTCGGCAATAGTACAAGCGGAAATCTCCATTCCAGGCAAGCATTACGGGAAGCCGGTGGACTGGATGGATGCGACCGGCCGCGAGTTGTCTCTCTGGCAGAACATGCTCGAAAGACCAAATTTCTGGGTCGAGGGCGCAGTGACATTAAGACCGAACTTGCACAATCACGGGAAGAATAACGGTACTTAAAAGCAGCAACGTGATAATGTCGCGCACTTACTCACTTCAGTTTGCGAGAGAGGAACGTTTGGCCAATTTAGTTCAAGTTGATTGTACATAGCTCTAAAAGTGTCGCGCTTATGACGGACGTAATTTTTAAATATTTGCGAACGAAGAATCAGTGCCTTCGAAAACTCGTTTGATCTTCCTGAATGGACATAAGCAAAAATTCTCTGCAAAATTCCCGTCAATCATTTACAAGATTAGTTTGGACTGATAAAATAAACATCACTGTTAGTTTCATATCCTGTATAACAGTATGTATTAAATTATTTTGAGTTCTCTGTCGACATTCTTATTTTTACGTTGTCCATTATTAATTTTATATAAATCGTGTTCTAAACACATAAAACTCTCTGATATAACTTTCAATATAATTTATAACGAACAAGATGCTAAATTTTATGATTTTTTTTTTAACAGATTCTTATCTATATATATATATTCTTATTTTATTGGTTGCTTCGCTTTGACTATTCCAAAAATATAACAATTAGTTATTTTCATCATTTTTTTGTTTACCTGATAAAATAATAAAATTTAATAATTTAGAAGGAAAGAGAGATACGATATGCTATAATATTTGCAAGAATAAAAAGTGTATACTCTCATTAAGAAAATATAAAATATTATTCTCGACTTCGAGAATAATATTTTATATTTTCTTACACTTATGTTTTAAAATATAAATAAAGTATTTCTGCTTATTAGAAAATATATTATAAATGTATTGTTTTTTAGATTTTTAATTTTTACTTTTCAACATTTTTTTTTTACGCAAAGTTACGATTCGTAACAACATAACATTAATACAATTGACGTGCCAAATATTAAAATAGGCGAATTCATATTGTAACAAATTTTTTAAATATTTTTCAAGATAAAATTAATTACAGTTTATTTCAATATTATTGCATTTCTCTCTTTAAAAAAATATTGTTTTGTTTATTATTATAACTTTAGTAATTGTATAATAGAGCAGAGCGAAGTATACTTTATTATTTGTCTTTTAGAAAGCTGCGGTCTTTGTGTATCGTAATTTTTTCTTTTCGCTTTTAATTGTGATTCGAAAAAGACCTTTGTTGAATGTGTAAATTGTGTAAGTCTTTAAAATTTGTTCACTACTATAAAGCATCGAAGATTCTTAAAAGAATATAGTTAGGTTTTTAAAATGTCCGAAACGAGATGAAAGCAAAAGGGCGTCCGTCCAAAACAACTGGCAAAATGATTACTAGTATCCACATGTACGCGCGTAAATATATATATATTATATGTGCGCTGTTTGCGATTAACGAAGAAACGACGAATAAATTCTCGTCGAGTTCCAAACGTTGACTTACAAAGTATTTCGTAATTTCGCGAAATTCTACCTCATCAAAAAAAAGTCCGAAAATTAATGTGGCGGCACGAATGATAGTTTAATTTTTAAACTTTACAAAAGCGTGCTCTTAGTCCATAATTACTGCAAAGATTGTAATAGTATTACATTTATTATTACAAACGTAAGAAGTTGTAAGAAGCAAATGAATGATGAGAGGTCACAGTTATATTTTTACATTCTGAGAATATGCATTTTAAAATTTGATTATAATATCATGTAAGACATCGCATAATCCATAATGGATCTTCACCGAAAAATGAGAAGTTGTAATGGTGATAATAATTCGTATACGATAGAAAACTCAGGTCTTTTATAAAAGTATCCTTCATTCATTCGCTTCTCTTTATTTACTAAATAAACTAATCGGACGAAACATGATAAAAAATTCAGCTTTTGGAACGCCTGAACAATGTTGTGGATACTTTCCTTTCTTGGAGAGAAAAATGCTTCCAATGTGTAACAATAGGAACGAGCGAGTCTCTCGAGTGAACGAACGAACGAACGAGCGAATGATGGAACGGTGTATTTAAGGGATTTAAATATAACTGCTTCCTCGCGAGCAACTTAAACGAAAACGCATTCTTGTAGATGTTATATTTATATGTATACATATATATGCAAGCATCGAATCCATCGCCACTGAAATTCCCGAAGGAAACCCGCCATTCATAATTATATTTCCAAAATTAAAGAAGCTTTTCCTCCGGGAATTCCAGGACGATTGTAAAGGCTCGTATTTGCGGTGCGCGTTCAGCGGCGATTTGTTTTTATGTCGTTCATTTAGCGTTAAATGCGACTGTTTTGATCTAATATCAATATAATATTTGACACAATCAGTCACGTATTTAGCGCTAGATGCACCGCTAGATCGTGTTATAAGTGTCAACGACTTTCGAAGGTTCAAAGATAAATCGAAGGTTCGAACTAACGAACTCGTACTTAACTGATTTATTATATCTTCGATTTATGAGTATAACATCGTAAAAAGGTCGTTGTAATTATCTCTAAGACTCTCTGTCTCTCTTCCTAAAAACAGGGTTAACGAAAGGGAACTGTGAAACTGCCTTTAACGTTACGTAGAAATTTGTGTGATGCGTAAGCTCTTGGAGCTAAAGAGATAGATGAATTAAAAAATTTAAATTAGGAAACATTTTTTTAAGTGCAATTGATCTTTAAAATAAGAAATTTATTTAATAATTCTCGAATTTTCTTTGTAATTAAAAAAGTTATGTTTAAGTAAAAAAAATTCGAATGTAATTTTTTAAAAGAAAATTGATCTATTTATATTCTGAGAGAAATTTAAATAAAATAAAAATGTAAATATATATTTAACAAAGATCAAATTTAGAAAACTGTGAAACGCCGAATTTCCGTAGGAAGAGTATATTTATCGTAATCATAAATTTAATAAAATCAAATTAATGTGTAAATTCTTTTTTAATTCAACTATCCTTTTCGTAGAGTCAATATATGTGTCTTAAATTAATACAAATTTTGAAATATGTGTAGTTATATAAGATTTCGATATTCCTGAAATACTAAATTTAGTGTCGTTACGATAATTATGTCGTGCGCATTTACGGACCAATAGAGAATCAAGGATTTTATTACGATAACCCGTTGCGTTTTCTACCCCGATAAAGCCCCCAAGTTACTTATTTTACATATATTAATTAGTTCAGTTAGCATTTAATGTTATGAAATGTAATGTTAAAAACTTAGAAAATCAGACATTTATTTATATGTCGCTCGTCGGTGTACATGATAATAAAAGTTTTATACGTTTACTCGTATATTTTGTATCTTTTATTCATTGTAAAAATATAAATACCTAATATAAGAAGTTATAATATGAGAAGTTATAAACGTAAATCAGATACTTATTACGAGAAATCATATTAGTCTTGCAAGGAAAAGAAATTTAAATTCATATATACTAATAATGTAGAGTAACGATAAAATTTATCTAAAGATATTTTTTAAAAATACGAATTATCGTAACATAAAAAAATATACAATCATACGTACAATCTAACAATTTTATTTTATATAATTTTATATTTTTATTCTTAACACTAAACGTACCGAGATTTAATACATACCTATTTGTACTGTAACCGGTTAAATGACCTATCGTGATAAATAATGCTAGGCTACACCGTGTTTATCAGATTTAACAAATAAAAATATAAATAAATGATGTAAAATTAATTGTATATATTTAATAGAAAAAATCATGAAGTCAAATGTGAAAAAGCGATAACATATTATGCGAATTTTCTAATCAAAAGTTACAACCGGTTATTTGACCAAGTCGTGGTATGTTTAGTGTTAAAAGCATTTTTTAAATATATCATAATGTTTTTTTAAGTCAAATATCGTAAGCTTTTAAATATATTTTTTATGGAATATGCATTATTTATTTAAATGTATTTATTCTAAATTAAATAATTATAATCTATATTAAAATTTAATGATGTGATATAAAAACAACTTTTTTAATAACATTGTATATATGTAAATATAATTATAATATAATTTTTTTATATTTTTTTTAAATCTTGGTATGTATGTTTCTATGGTTATATGTAAATATTTATGTATGTTTTTATCATTAATATTGATAACAATACAATATTAATTATGGAATAGACGCGACGGGCAATAGGCTTTATTATTGTCAAGATCTAAAAAAAATTTTTGTGTTGATAATTGATTAAAATTTTCATTAAAATCAATTATATTTGACTAGAAAAATATTTTAAAACCACGCTTAGAAATATATAGATATGTAATTCTCGATTAAAGATCCTTGTTCGAGATGAACCTGTTGCCTTCTGAATTCTTGCCAGAATATCGATACTTACATTTACCATATGCACCTATAAAAAAATTTATCACTAGTATTATATTTATTTACTATATTTGTTTATACATATAAATAACAATTTTAAAAAGTACCTTTTAAAGTAAAAAATATAAAATGTCAAAAGTGTTTAGAATAACTCTCTCTTCCAGTTTTATACAATTATTTCATAATTTGATTTAACTAGACGTACCTTTGTGATCGTGAGGATTGCGCAACGAACTTGGCAAGGGGGTGTAATGGATGTTGAAGTATATGTCATCGAATTCATTGTTAGCTTGCGTCGAACCGGGTATGAACTTACGAATCAACTCCGGGACGAGCTTGATCGTCTTGGAATATCTACCACGAGTATTAGCGTTTGATCTCTCCTGTTGAGTGACTCTTCGGGAGTCCAGAAAGCGAAGACTCGGAGGTAAAATATGGATGGCGTATAGCCTATAACGCTCGTAATCATCATCATCGGTAGATGTAGGATTGGTCAATTGATCAGGGCAACCGGGATTGCCCAGAAGACTCACGTATTCCACATTGGGACAACATTCTCGTATTTTATCAAGAGCTTTCTCGATATTGGATATCTAAAAATGAAATTTATTGTTTGGCTTCTATATAAAAAAATTGTGTATATATATTAAAGAGAAATTAATAAAATATTTAAAAAACTAAATATTTTTAGTAATTTTTTGTATTTATTTTCATAAATCTCTTTTAAAACACAATCTTCGTAAGAATTATATTACTCTTTTCAAGCACCTTGTTATTATTAAGACTCAGAGTGGTCAAAGTCGGCATATGAGGTAGCGTTTTGAGATTGTTAAGTTTGTTATTGTCCAAGATCAATTCCTGAAGCTGCTCAAAATCCTTTATGCCAAAAATAGTTGTTAATTCGTTATAAGAGAGATCTAAGCCGTGACAATCGTGACCAACGACTCCCATCAAACCATTAGGAATCTTTTCTGCTTTTTGCCCCGTATACCATGCCTAAATTGTCGATTATAAATAAGACAAAAGTAAAAGAAATATAATATAATGTGCACGCGCACGTGAAGAAAATAAAGAATACTGAAAAATTACAATTACTTCCAAAAATCTGTATTTTATCAAATAAATGATCAAATACATATCTATTTACAAAATAAATCGCTTCTTTTAAAAATATTTTCAAGTTCATCAAATTTCAGTCACTTAAAAATTTAGTTACAAAAAATTACAAATTCTTATTTTTAATTTAATAAATGTGAATTAAGAGAATTTTAATTATAATTTATAATACTTAACTTACACAAAGACATTTAATATTAAAGATTAAAATGCATCAGTGATTAAAATAAATTCTCAATCAAAATTTGTTTAGAGAAAATCAATTTTGAAAATCAAGACATTTATAAACACGAAAATTGAACGACTTTTGATCTCTTTATAGCACGAGAGTGATTCGTATACCTCAGCAGTATAAAAAAAATAATTGCTATAAATTATTTTAATAAACATAGGATTTATTCTTTCTGATTAAACTTTCTGTATTTTCTTCACGTTTTTTTCCCACATTTTTTGACTGCGTATATCTCCACTTTGTAATAATGAAAAGTGTAAAAGAGTGCAGGCAAAAACCGTAGATCAGTAGCGTTATCAATCAAAGTGTATCGTGACGTGTGCATCGATTAAATGTTATTGTGTGTAATTAAAATTGTGAAACGATTACGTTTACCCGTCCACTATCGAGCGTCAATGCACTCCTATTAAAGTCTTGCTGACCGTGGCCCGCCATGTTGAACATATGCCACGCACCACGAGAGAATTATCGCGCAGTTAATAACATAGATAACACCTTGTGCGTATGTGCGTGTGTCGGTATAATTACCGTAACATTAAAGTTCGATATCCTGTATTTATAACATTAAATGTGTATACGGCTCGTTGGTCTAGGGGTATGATTCTCGCTTAGGGTGCGAGAGGTCCCGGGTTCAAATCCCGGACGAGCCCATTTTTTATTTTTTTATTTATTTAGATATAAAATTATAATACAGCTAACAATTAAAAATATACATATATTTATATAAATAAAAAATACATTAAAATAAATTTTTATATCATTAGAATATAATTGAACATTAATCATTTTGACTATTGAAAATATATGCAATTGCTATTGATTTTTATTAAATTTTATATGTATAATTGATGTTTGTCTTTCTATTTTATTTCATTTTCGTAATTCTTAATATATTTCTTATAGACTTTAAAACTTATATATATGTCAAATTTTCTCTTTCTTTAAATATATTTCTAACATATGTAGCACATATCACACAATAGCACAAATAACATAAATCTAAAAAAAAACAAAGTTAATTACTTTTATATTGCAGTAAAATATTAGGTTACTCTTATTATTAGTAATCTTTAGTAACTTTATAATTACTTTATGAAGTCGTTCAAAGTTTTCTTATTTTTTTTCTTAGGTATCGTGTGAGATGTACTACTTATTTTCAAAATTGAAGCTTTGCTAGAAGAATTTGCTGTACACTCCTCAACTTTTGAAGGTCCTTGTATATTATTCAATTTATCTTGCCTTAGCTTCTGTACAAAATCGTTTTTTGATGAATCAAGAAAAACATTTCCATCAGTCTTTGAAGCATTAGTGCCACTAAAATAAATAGGAAATGCAATAAACATTTGATATATTCTTTATAACATGTCTTATTATACCTTGCGTCGTTTGAAGATACTTCTAGTTTTGCGTGTGACTTTAACAAGGTTATTTCGTTATAAAAACAGAGCACGGATTGGAAAATATTTACAAAATCAGTTGATCCAGTATCATCAGTGCGAAACAATTCCTCACTGAATGGCTTTGTAGCGATATAATCTACATACAGGATATACAAATAATATTTATCTTTCAATTTTTAAATGTAATAACATATCGTACATTGCAAAAAAGCGTACTCCTAATTAACTCTGCGCCTTCCGCTTTGTATTCAGCTATTTCTTCATCTTTCTGTTTAACCAGATCTAGTAGAATCTTGTACCGGCGAATCAGTTCCATTGATGACGAGCAGAGAGGCATAGTTACACTTTTCCAAAATTGCTGTGGCGTTCCTTTCAAAAGATCCAGTAAAAATCGTAATTTTATGAAACCTTTTTTTTTTTGCAATTCTAAGTGATATGTTGTAACTTCTAAACGATTTTCATGCATGTATTCAGGGATATTATTTAACATATCCAATACCACTTCCTTCCAATCAAAAACCTCAAGATTTAAAAGAGGATTCATGGTCTACAAATTAATATGTTTTATTATATATGAGTATGTATAATATAATATGATTTTTTCATTGAGAAAACTGAAAATATTATCATCACTTGTAAAATAAATTTCGATCTAAATTTTCTTCCATGATTCACATTTGTAATAATGAATAAAAAATTTTAATTTATGAAATCTATATATGAGATAAAATTAAGATAATTCATAATACCTGACATTTGTGAAACACAGATTCGTCTGTCAGAGTCTCTGACCAAATTTCTATCAGATTTGTTAAAAGGACTTTCCACGACTCATTTTCCTTCACAAAACAGATCATATAATCTTTATTATTTATTTTAAAGTTTTTCCAAACTTTGCCTTGCCCATTATTACAATCCGAATTCATATCAATATCGTGATTCTCAATCATAATGACAAAAAAAAGACAAACGAATTTAGTGTTACAAAATTTGCAATAGTTCGATTATATATTACACGATATAGGTTATTACATAACCTATGTATAATCACGTTTTGTTTAACTTATTAACACACTTTTATAATACATTGTTTTTAGAATACATTTATACATAAATCTATACATCTATACCGATGTAAAATTTCAAAAATAAATAAAAATCGTTTTTATTGATATTATTTAAAATTAGTCGTAAAATAAGGTCTGTTCTTTTTCAAAGAATTCTGAACTAGTTCTGAACTAGTGTAATAAGTTAGAGTGAAACAAACTACAACAGGACGTTTGATTGACCAATCAAAAGAAAGAATTTTACAAATTGACCAATCAAGAAACGCTTCAAAGCATTCGTAGTGGCAACTCGACCGCACCCTATGAATACTGGTCTATGAATACCGGCCATAGTGTCGAAAAAGCGCTGTATAGAAGAACTGATCTGAGTGCACCTGTTGGAGAAAACCGTGAACTAGGATATTTTCCAACAAGTTTGTGTTTCGTAAAATGCGAAAAAGCTATGCAACGGTGTATAAGTACATACATGTGTACCTGTGACTGTGACCTGTGACCACGTGACAGTCAATACTTCCAACATTTTTCGCAAAATGTTCTCATGGGATTTTCCGAAATTGTGTTTTAAGCCCATGGTTCATCCTCAAGTTTGGTTCATCCTTCTCCTTTTTTTTTACTCCGAAATGAAACTATAGCAGACTCCATGTATGCGGTGAGCAGTGGCAAACGCATGCGGTGACCAATCAGGAACCAGACTCCTGCAGGATGCGACATGCGCCTGGCCCCTGATTGGTCACCGCATGCGTTTGCCGCTGCTCACCGCATACATGTAGAGATCCTATAATAAGAATTTGGCCAAAGCGGGCCCAACTTCTGATTGGTATTCTACCTTGGTCCATTCTTCGGATAGCTTTGTACATTGTCGGAAAACGAGTTCAGAGAATAGAAAGAGACAGATAGCGTAATATGAGAAAGAAAGCATATCTGTTATCTCCTTCTATCCGCCATCATTGGTCCGCTTTGGCCAAACTCTTATTATAGGATCTCTACATACATGGAGTCTTATAATGGTGGAAAGAACCACAGGGCACAGACACAGAGATACAGTATAGACATCTGTGGAAAGAAGTCAGGTGTGCTTGTTCTCAAATTTCGTACGGTTTTGCGCACATTCCAAATGTGACCATTTAAACATTTGCATTGCGGTAAATTTAAAGTTCGAAAGATTAAAATGAATATGTACTTGCCACATAAAAACATGTAAAAATGATTATCAAAAAAAAAAAGAATTCAGAAATATCATTTTTTCAGAGAGAAAGCATTATTTGTATCGCTTCTAAAAAAAAAAAAGAAAGCGTTAATATTAAAGGAAGAAGATTGTGAAAAATTAATTTTTATTATGACATAACACCTATTTTCAAATAACCGACAACACGACAGCATATGCGATGTCATGTTCTTATTGGCTGCGTTTAACAAAGAAAACTAATCAATTAAGCACTTATAGTAATAACTGTAATAAATATTATATTTATTTTAATAATAAAACATTAAAAGTATTCTTTCACACATAAAAATATATTATTTACATTTTATATTTTGTTGGAAATATAATATTCTAACTTATACAAGTGTCAACGACTAATAATACAAATATAAAAAAATAACAAAGATATAATAAAAATAATAATTTAATATAAAAAACATAATCATATAATTTATCATATCCGTCTTCGAATCCGGCTTTCTCCGATTGCGTGTCAAATGCAGTTGACTGTGCATCGCGACTCGCAAGTGTTAGCGGTAAACGCACTTTTGAATCTGCAATTTTTCTGTCTCGATATTTCCTACCAATTGGTGAACACCAGAGGATTGCATTTGTTCGCATAAAAGCATTCGCAAGACCTATCCATACCCAATCTTCGCACAATTTACCAAAGAGCGAGACATTTTCAGTTTTACGTAAACGAGTCTTCAATGCATTACTAGATACTTTCTCTCTTTTCATTATCAGATAATTACAAAGCAACACGCCACTGCATTTCGACGAAAGTTCGAGAAATCCTTTCACGAAAGCTTTATTAAACTCCTCACATCACTTTTCTGTATTACTATTTCCTATGAAAAAATGTAGGATTTACGTTTTATAAGAATAAAAATTATACGTTAAAATAAATAGTATAATAATTAATTATTTATTAATAATATTAACTATTTGATTATTATAAATCTTATTCTTATTTATAAAATAAATAAAAGCTGTACAAAATGATTTTATTACTATAATAGATAATTATTATTATAATAGATATTACCATGCATTTTTTTTCGAATAATTTCCTTTCTAACAAAACTTTTATTTAAATCAATATTTAATGAGCCGCATTTTCTCTTTGTATCATTATTGCGAGATCTTAATTTTAAACAGGAATTTCCTATTTCATCTATACATTGTGATGCCATTACATATTTCGAAGCTACATGCTGTAATAAAAGTTCCTTGGAGAAAGTTGCAACAACCGGTTTCAATTTTAATTCTTAAATAGGTCGTTACATTCTTAAGATTAATAAAGGGGGGAGTATGTACAAGTATATATATTTAATATATCTTAAGCAGAGTGCACATTTTAATTAAATATACGTTCTAATCCAATTAATATATGTATATATTTATTTAAATCAAAGTTTGTTTTAAGAATTGACTCAAATTTAATCAAAATGTTAAATTTTATATACCAATTTTTCAAGGAGTTGCTCTTTTCTTCTGCACCTCGATGATAGGTTATTCAAAATATCCTTGGTGTACATATTCAGTTTTCTCGTAATATTCAACAATTCATTGTATTCGAGTTTAAGCTGTTTAATAAAATAATTTTCAACCCCTGAAATTGATATATCAAATTCGACCGCATGTTTGTTTAAAAGATTGCAGGATACGCCTACATCTTTCACCAGAACGGTATCTTGAAAGCAGTCTGTTCTATAATAAATTAATCTTCCTTCAATTCTCCTCTATCATAATTCTCTCTCTCTTCCCCTCCCCCCTGTTTAATATTATATACTTCTCAATAAAAAATAAAATTAAAATAATAATATAATATTATAAGAATAATAAGGTTCGATAATAATAAATAATTTCAATAAATAGAAGGATTACGGCTAAATTAAATAATATAATAATAAATGAATCAATTTTAACTAATATTTGCAAAAATAAAAAGTAACAATTTCAGTTACAATTTTTAATTAATTGATATCAATAAAAATAAATTCTATTATTATTTTCACGGTTCATGTTATACTTTTATGTTTGCAATTAATAAAAAGAACAAATCAACACCTGTAATAGGAAAATCCGCAATAATCTACTCCACTTTCAATGTTGCACGGTTTTCGCAAAAGACCATCCTGGCGTACAGTGAATTCATCGCCCACATAAGTGACTTTAATCGAATCCGATGGTACTATTGAAGCATGTCGAGTAATTCGATTCTTATCTCGTGGCAAAAGGAAAGTCTTTGAATCCCTCGTACCGGAAATCGTCGAGTATTTTCTCCTCGACGACATAATACTAATGGGCGCATCGCCTGCTTCCGGGGAGGCGCTAATTGCGCACACCTCGACAGACAAGTTCTACTAATTAGTCAACGGAATCGCAAGTTGTATGCGAGAAACCGCGCATATACGATACGGACATATGATATGCACGGATACAGATATATAACACACACACAATACACGCACGCACGCACAAACACATACACAGTATTACCATATATTATAATTTTATAAATTCTTTTATATTATATATATATATATATGATTATAATTATCCAAGAACTTAACGCAAAAGTAAGTATATAGAAAATTCAATTACTTATTACTGGATTTATTATTGATTAAGTGACTCTGGTTAAAAGATTCGTCGATTGTGTATAATTACCGAGATTCGGAACTTTTTACGGCCCATCATCGAGAAGCATAAACAAGTACCATATTTATATTCCTGTTGTGTATTTACGAATTCATCCATTACATCGCGCGCGTACTAAAATCGCAATATTACCAATCAATTTTGGAAACCGGATTAAGACGATTAAATATTTGCTTCTTTACATCAAAATGAGTTATATTTATTTCTCGAAAGATTGATGGAAACTGATCCTTGGTTGCGATCTATGAATAACTTCATTGTTCTCTTTTAATAGATCTACACAAAATTTTATTTTCCTATATTGTATTTTTAATTTTGCTCGCAAAATTTTTATTTTAAGACAAATAAAACTAAATTTAATCAAATTAAATATATTACATGCAAACTATTTCTTAGACCTAACAATATAAAATTATTGTGATGCAGTTAAATTAAATTTAAAATAAAGAAATTATAGTTTTAATTTTACGATGAATGCGCCACTGAATTAAATTTAAATATGGAATTCTACGCCACTGACGGTTTATTTTCTCCAGTCGACAATATTGCGGCTTGTATGACGATGGCAGTGCGCGTGCGCACGCGCGCGTTACCGATCAACTTCATTTTTTTAAAGCTTTAAGTACCCAAGACATTGTAATTATTCGATAATATTAATTAATTAGTAAAATGAAAAAATTAAAGACTTAAAAATAGATAATATCAGATTAGAACTTTTGAAATATATATATAATTATATAGGTATATAAAAAAATTCGTTCTTTAAAAAATATTCTTAAGAAATTTTATCATTGTTTTTAAACGATTTTTAATAGTAGTCTTTTAAGACTTGTTCTCTAAAATATAACATTTCCACAATTTTCAACAATTCTCGATGTAATAGTAATAATAAAAATAAAGAAAATAAAATTGATATACGATTCAGTTTTTAATATGACAAACTCTCTCGACATTTCTTGTTTTCACAAGTTACTATCTTAATGTTTGAACATCTTTTACTATAGAAAATTCCAGAACCCATAATTCTAAGGGGCCCACTGATATACGTCACTGTACCGATTTACCGAGTACGCTCGAGGAACAGGTCGCGACGTCGCGGCCCCACAGTCGCGTCGGCGCTCCGTTCGCCAGCCGTCGTCAAACTTGTTCTTCAATCGATGTACCTTCATTATTTCATTCGATGATGTGCAAATCATAGTGCAAAATTTGTTATTTACGGATTCAAAGGAGACGCAAGTGTCTAGATTTCCAGTGAGTTTTTTGAAGAATTATATTCGCTTTGACAGTTGAGGGATCCTTTAGCGGTCCCCGGTCGCGATGTCTTTACGCAGTGCGGTGTGGACCCAAGCTCGACTTAAGAAGACTTGTAAAGAAGATAGACTACCAACCGATTTGTGAGCAGCATCTCAAAAAAAATTAATTATCCTTTAATGAATATAATATTAATATCGAAATAATAATAATTTGGTTAAAGTAATATATATATATATATATATATGTGTATGTATGTATGTATATATATTAGTTGAACTGATTAACATAATAGCAAAAAATATCAGAAAAAAATGTTAATAACTAAATTAAATAATAAATAACTACTGTAGAGAGAATTGAGAGCAGGTAGTGACTACCATTGGTTCGCCAACCTTGGAAGAATTATATATACACTCTAAACGCGATGTCGGAAATTCCAGTGACATTTTGACATTTACTTTTGAATAAACTCGTTTTGAAGATCTGATCGGAATAAAAATGAGAGAATGTGCACCAAATAGGTGCCTAGATGATGTAAGTATGTCCAAAGGCAAAATAATTAAAAAGTAAAAAAAATGCGTAAAGAGAGAGATTCGTTAACGAAAAAGATGTTAACAGTGATAAACGCGGCGTAACAATAACGCACGCGGGTATAAGGAGAATCACTGACTTTATCGGCAATTCTCAGTATTATTTTGAAACTAAACGATTTCTATGCATTTAATGAAAATACCAACTTTGGCATCAAATTAGACCTCCTCTTCAAAATACCCTATTTGGATCTGAGAGTTGATAAATAGTAATTTCTTCTAATAAATGAAGATTAGACAGATGATTGTGTTAAAATCGATGAGGTGCGCGTATCTCGTAAATATATCGAGTGATCTGTGAAAACCGAGACGACTCGAGTGAGATCGGAGTACGAATCGGATAAAACGTGTCGAATGGAGTGACGCCAGGATTTCTCGCAGATCATCGTCATCGTGTCTCATCGATGTAGCGCGATGTCGGCTTGCTGGCCTATCGTGGCGGTGACGCTGTGCTTCTGGATATGCGCTGGTGAGTTTAATGCGCGATTATGCCAGTCGGAATTTATTTATATTATAATATCCTTGAGTATACATTGGAGAAAAAAGAAGCATCTTTATACAAATAGCGACTATAGAAATGGTAATTTTATAAATTCTATATGTGGAATATATATTAATGGTTGAATAAATTATTTTATAGTCATTTCCCAACTAAAATTAAATTAATTATTAGTTCTTTTTGTAGTCAATTTTAGTTGCAATAACTGTAGAAAAGTTTATTCAATTATATATCATACATTAATTTCATAGTTGTCGTTTATTGAGATGTTATTTAAATAATATAATTAGTTACTTATTTAATTAATATAATAATAAATACAGAACTTATTTATAAAAAAGTGATAGATCCAGAACATGTAGGTATACGTAGATATCTATAAATATTTATGAAATTAATTTGAACCCAAAAGAAATTGAAGATCTCTATAGAAAACGAATTGTAAAACCAAGAATGTAAAAATCCAAGAATTTATCAATATTTCGTAAAATATATGTTGTTAAAAATATTCCCTTTCTATATAAACAAAAAAAATCTGTAGCATTTGTGGATCAATAATTTCTAAGCTATTTACTAAAGAATTAATATGGTGTGCATGTGTATTTTGGAGTACAAATGAAATTCTAGCAATAATTCCATAAGAGATCATTTTAAAGACAATTTAAAAATTGCTGATTAATTTTGTATTTTTCTTTAAATAATTATTAATATCGATATATACGTTAAGTTCTTTTCGAAAAATATATCTGAGATGAGTTATAAATATACAATATACGTACATACGCTTTCTAATATGTCATGGAGAAAGCTACGTATATTCGGATGTGCATGAATGTTAGAGCGATCGTTACTTTAATATCTAATAAATATGTAAAATATCATTACTCTAATATCCAAGTAAACAATGTATTTTTAAAAATTTATTTTATAATTTTGCTTTTCGTATAAAATAGTAGTAGAGATGCAAAATAATGACATTACGTTCACTATAGTAGATCTTGCTTACGCCAACGATTCCTTTCTCTCCAGACCAACTATGCTATTATAAGTTGCCTTGCTATGTAACAAGATACCTTTTGTGCAACAATAATCATATTATTTTCGCACAGTGTAATTCGATTCTATTTTAAATTTGTAAGAAATCTTAGCTAATTGTTAGGAAAGAATTTTAAATATTCTTTAAATATAAACTTTACATATTCACAATAAAATAACAATTTTAATAGCCTAATTACATTTTTAACAAATTATATAAATAATTATCTTCATTCTTATATAATATTGTTTTTTAATTAATTTTTCTGTCATTATACACTTTAGATTGCGATTATTTGTTATCGATTATAAACGTAAAAATATAATTTTATAATAAAATGTAAAAAATACATAAATAATTGTAAACTGTTAACAAAACATACGTAAATATAATAATAAACATTAAAGTGTTTAAATTGAATGTTTTACACATGACAGTTTCACACGGATAACATCAAAATTATAAAAATCTAAAAATATTCAGTATATAGCTCAAAAATAATACAATATTGCTCTAATATACTGTTCAAATCATATAACGTCACTGTTCATGTCGCTAACCATAATATCATTCTCGATGTCGAGGAATCGGAAGATTTAGCTAGTAGAAAGTCCATAATCTCAAGAAAGTCTTGCGAAGGCCTTTACAGTCAACTTTTGTCAGGTGCCTCTTCCTCAGTTCATATTATAATTGCCGAAGAAAGCCGGAGAGCAACTGATCGCGCGCGCGGTAACAGTTGCGACACGATTACGAGAATGTGCATTCGAGAGAGGCGAAGAACGTAACAAGAGCAGAAGATTGGTAGATATTTTGCATCTCTACAAACATACAGTCGTTGAAAACGCGTTAAAGATTTTAATTAATCGAGTGTGCAAATTGTTGCAAGTATCCCATTATAACTTAATCCTTAACAGTAAATTCTACACGACAAGCTGGATTGCTGTTTCAATTTCGTACAAAAAAGTAACAAAAAAACTGCAAATCCCTCGAAATTATCTCACAATTGAAGTAAAATCTTACTGTGATATAAGCAATTAGTTTATTTATTTTTATATTAAAGTAATAAATAATGGTAAATATACTTTCAATTTATAACATTATATTTTTTTAATTTTCTGTGAGGAATGCATCTTGAAATTTTTATTATTTTCAAAGAATTTACAACATTAATACAAAAAATATTCTACCTATTAATAATACAATTTTATTCTATCTTATTGCTGAGAATTTGCGACAATATAAATAATCTGAAATAAATAAAATCCTAACAAGACACATTCTTCTTATGTGCGTACATCATACTTGACATGATTAATCCTTTGACGAGTAATTAACCGCGGTCAGGAAACATGCGGTTTTGCGAATAATTACAGCTGCTTCGCGGCGAGCTCTTCCTTCACACCATCTTATTTATGGTTCAACCATTTTTCTTAAAATTCCAATTCCAAAATTCCTTACAAATTAATAACTTTTCTATCTGTAAGTAATTTCTTCTCTGAAGTTTTAATTTTATATTTTCATTTTTAGTATTAATTTGTAATTTATGTTGTTTAATTTATTAAATTTTCACCTTTTTACATATTATAATTCAAAATATATTTATATGTTTATTATAATTTTTTTAATTTAAACATTTGTAACATTGAACTCTGTCTAGATTTCTATTTTCTCTTTTTCGATATACTATAGGCATATTCTTAAGAATTCATGTTTTTGATATTGCAGTTTATGACTGTGGATTATGTATGTAATGAATACAAGCGTGCAATTGCTGGATTATCGGAATTTCTTGAACTACGTGATTTGAATATTTTGATTTTTTTGAAAGTTCGAACAAAATAGAAGACGCGGAAAGTAGACAGCGACAACTCTCGCAATGCGTGTTGTGTACGCACGTTGTAGCTACCGGAAAAATAAAAGCCGAACACTACGCATGCCAGGAATACTCGTGATAGCCTCGTAAACCTTCTTTTTGCGTTCTCGTTAACTAATATTATACAGTAGTGTCTTGCGAAATCTTTACCAGTCATACAAGATTATTTTCTAACAGTGAAAAATTATATTAAATAATTATAAGCAATAATTAATTGGAAAATATAATATAAAAATAAAAAATAATTTTCATTTATTTTATTCAGCAAGCACAATATTACTTTATACATTCTTACGCAATATGTCCTGTCTATTGCAATATCTATCAGTCTGAAAAAGGGAAATGGTAGGCTAAACTTCTTTGTAATACATGAAGAAGATGTTGTAGGAAATTATCATAAGGCAGTAAAACGGTACACGAAGAAGGTCGGAAGAAATGCGGCAAAGACAAACTTTACTCACAACACGATAAAGCATTAACAAAATCGTGAACTCGACAGACACTGATATTAATATATTGCATCTGACGGTCACATAATCAGGACGCAGACATTCAACAAAAACCAGCGATTAAGTTTTACAATAGGAATCCGCCTTAATTTAATTCTTCTTTTTCAAAGAATAAAAAATGTGAATATCTACATATGAAAAACTATTTTAAAAAGCAGAAAAAATGAGTGAGTGAGTGAGTGTGAGAGATTACGTTCAAAAGTAATTTTTTAAAAATCAAATAAATCTGTATATTTTACAAAAAAAAAAACAAGAACTAATTAATGTACGTGTACAAAACAGACCCATATCTCCACTTTCCAAGATATGTGAAAAAATTCAAAAAAAAATATCTGTACAAATTTTAAATAAATTCTTCAAATTTTATTTTACAACTTCAAGATTAACTATAACAGATAGAATATAATTTTTCGTTTGATTTTTGGGGGGGAGAGGGTTTCATTCATATACTTTTACCATTACATTTATTGCAATAGTTTTCTTTATATTTATCAAAATTATTAGTTGTTATCTTGTCTTTTCTTTCAGCACATAATCAATAAGCAGCCAAGATATGAAATTTATTTATACGTAAAAGGTAGTCGAATTTTGAGTTTAAATAAAAAAACAATTCTTTTTTTTAAATAAAGATGAGGAAAAGGATAAAAAATGAAATTTTTATATGTGAAATTTATCGATGTAAGACAGAATTAACAACGTTCAAGCACAGAGACAGTCGTACAAACCGGGTCACCAGACACCGAGCAAGAACCCATACCTAACCTTCACTGACACCAAGGCTCGACGACCATGCTGACGAGAGGAAGGGGAACAAAATGCGTTTTCCACTGACTCGTAGAATTCCTTGTAATAGGACGGTCTTTAGACCATCCTCTTCACGCGTGTGTCGCATCGTGATTTATTTATTAATTACGATGTCTTTGTGTGTCTGAGATTCTCTGTAATTTTTGTTTTTGGAGACAGAGATTTTTTTAATTTGATTAAATTTTACAATATACTTCCATAAATATACATAAAAAAAATTTTAATCCAAAGCTAAAAGTATAAAATTATATCTAAAATAGTGAAAATAATATAGAAAATATATGTATCAACCAAAATAAAATTTATCCGATCAGAAAATTTAGAAACTAAAAAATCTTTTTTCTATATAACAATTTTTCTTGTTATCATGTTTTTTTTCAAATTTATATTATAATTTTTACTGTAAATTATAATTTATATAAATTATAATTTAAAATTTTTTTATAATTCTCCTGTTAACATGACCGCAATGTTGTGATTTTCACAAGCAGAATTTTGTATTCGTGCATAACGCTCTTTTAGTCATTTTAACTTTTAACGCAGGAAATAAATTCATCAGCATAATGAATGCAAATGCGCTGAACACATTGTTACAGCGTGACCATAAAATCATTTATACATTCTTCTCACCCCAGACAAGAATCGATCGTAACCAGTTCTAAATAACTCTGGCAGCTTGTGGACTATTTGTTGCGTCCACAAGTTGTTATGCGCTGTTCTCGACATTGCATTAAGCAGAAATTATCTG